AAATCATATATGATATACAATGGGATCATGAACTTCACCAGGAATGTGCAGTAGATGCTGCCCTTCTCAAATGGGGAAGTCTTGTGAAAACTACAAAAAGAACAAACAGGAGGACGCAAATGCCTAGTGCATTACCAATGATTTATTGTCCACAAAACATAGATGCCAAATGGATACTCACAGAACTGAAAAGTAAAATCACATAAAAACCACAAGATGCCACAGCATCTGAGGAATCGTGTGTCCATGCAACCCAGCTGGACTGGAAAGCTGATGCATTTCGGAGGTGTACCTCCTTCCTCAGATTAGCTCTGAGGAAGGAGGTATGCCTCCAAAACGCGTTATCCTGCTGCAGGTGCTGAACATTAGTATTGGGATGATTTTACCATTGCAGTTCACACTCCCTGCAGCTGAACACAAGGAGTGTCAGGTAGCACAATGTGCTGGTTATGGTCAAATTAAGCCTTAAGACTACACAGGTGGAGTATTTGTTCCTTTCTTCTGTGCTAATATTGTGTATCATTGCCAGGTACTGAAAATGACCCTAGATTGCAGTTGGTCGGATCCCCTTGTGGAACTGCAGACTTTAACCAGGCTGGCGCATTTTGCATACAGTGCTCGAGACTTAGAATTAGCATTATCCTGTACCCAGAGAGCTTTAAAGTTTGATAACAAGACAAGAAAACAGGAAGTGTAAGTATGTTTTCTATGTATTATGTGCATTGGCTGTATATATATAGAAATAAAACCATAAATTAGGCAATAATAAGGTAGAGTGCTAATATTTATCATGTTTAGGTTTCTATTACCAATGTATCTTCATATGGACACAGAGAATGGAAAACCTGGTAATGTGCTGGATGTTTCATTAGGGTGTGTGGCCTTCTGCAGCTGCCTTTATTGCCAGCCGCATTATATTGAAGTCTGGGTGAGATGGTAAATTCCAATGTCTTTCATATTTGACTCAGCACTCAATAGTTGTATCAGTTAAATCTGGCTAACTGATTACATCAGATGGCCACATCCAATGATATACTTGGATATATGCCAAACACTAAGGGGTAAATTTAAAAAAAAAATGTTAGCTGAATGTGACAAGCAGTTGCCCAGCCCTGACTAATTCTGTCCTTTTTTTCCCTAATGCAATGATTTCCTATGATCAACACCTCCATCTAGTAACCATAATGTGTTTTTTTTTCTGACTGAGGTATTTCAGAAAAAATGCTACATTATGGCTACTAGATGGAGCTGATAATCATAAATCACTGTATTAAAGGATAAGTTCATCTTTGGGAATATGTTACATGTCCCACCCACTTTTAGGTATGCTGCAGCTGTTGCCCTGTAAAAAAATATGCATTTATTATTTTTGGTCAAAAGGTGAACTTATACTTTCAGCTAACTACAGTCAGGTCCATAAATATTGGGACATTGACACAATTTTAACATTTTTGGCTCTGTACACCACCACAATGGATTTGAAATGAAACGAACAAGATGTGCTTTAACTGCAGACTGTCAGCTTTAATTTGAGGGTATTTATATCCAAATCAGGTGAACAGTGTAGGAATTACAACAGTTTACATATGTGCCTCCCACTTGTTAAGGGACCAAACGTAATGGGACAATTGGCTTCTCAGCTGTTCCATGGCCAGGTGTGTGTTATTCCCTCATTATCCCAATTACAATGAGCAGATAAAAGATCCAGAGTTCATTTCAAGTGTGCTATTTGCATTTGGAATCTGTTGCTGTCAACTCTCAAGATGAGATTCAAAGAGCTGTCACTATCAGTGAAGCAAGCCATCATTAGGCTGAAAAAATAAAACAAACCCATCAGAGAGATAGAAAAAACATTAGGCGTGGCCAAAACAACTGTTTGGAACATTCTTAAAAAGAATGAATGCACCGGTGAGCTCAGCAACACCAAAAGACCACGGAAAACAACTGTGGTGGATGACCGAAGAATTCTTTCCCTGGTGAAGAAAACACCCTTCACAACAGTTGGCCAGATCAAGAACGCTCTCCAGGAGGTAGGTGTATGTGTGTCAAAGTCAACAATTAAGAGAAGACTTCACCAGAGTGAATACAAGACGTAAACCATTGGTGAGCCTCAAAAACAGGAAGGCCAGATTAGAGTTTGCCAAACGACATCTAAAAAAGCCTTCACAGTTCTGAAACAACATCCTATGGACAGATGAGACCAAGATCAACTTGGTCTCATCTGTCAAAGTGATGGGAAGAGAAGAGTATGGAGAAGGAAAGGAACTGCTCATGATCCTTAGCATACAACCTCATCAGTGAAGCATGTTGGTGGTAGTATCATGGTGTCGGCATGTATGGCTGCCAATGGAACTGGTTCTCTTGTATTTATTGATGATGTGACTGCTGACAAAAGCAGCAGGATGAATTCTGAAGTGTTTCGGGCAATATTATCTGCTCATATTCAGCCAAATGCTTCAGAACTCATTGGACGCCGCTTCACAGTGCAGATGGACAATGACCCAAAGCATACTGCAAAAGCAATCAAAGAGTTTTTTAAGGGAAAGAAGTGGAATGTTATGCGATGGCCAAGTCAATCACCTGACCTGAATCTGATTAAGCATGCATTGCACTTGCTGAAGACAAAACTGAAGGGAAAATGCCCCAAGAACAAGCAGCAACTGAAGACAGTTGCAGTAGAGGCCTGGCAGAGCAAACCTAGCGTCTGGTGATGTCTATGCATTCCAGACTTCAGGCCGTAATTGACTGCAAAGGATTTGCAACCAAGTATTAAAAATTGAAAGTTTGATTTATGATTATTATTCTGTCCCATTACTTTTGGTCCCTTAACAAGTGGGAGGCACATATGCAAACTGTTGTAATTCCTACACCGTTCACCTGATTTGGATGTAAATACCCTCAAATTAAAGCTGACAGTCTGCAGTTAAAGCACACCTTGTTTGTTTCATTTCAAATCCATTGTGGTGGTGTATAGAGCCAAAAATGTTAGAATTGTGTCAATGTCCCAATATTTATGGACCTGACTGTATAGTCAAAATCCATCAGGGTTGGGTAAATCCTTGTCATATTCATCTAACAATTGTTTTTACAAATATACCCATAAACTTCATTCCCTGTCGTTCATCTAATGCCAGATTCTTCTCTGCTCCCTGAGGTTCTGGTGTTTGATAGCTGAATAACAGAGGCTTAAAGTAGAAGAAAATCCTAACAATTCTTAAAAAAATGTTCCTCCCCCCCCCCCCCCCCCCTCCTTATACCTATCCTGCCTAACCTGTGTAAAAAAAAAGATGCGTATATGACATATTTACCCATTTTTTAAATGATCTGGTAATTTGATCCGGTCACGTGATCCAATGACTCAGGCTCCTTATGTCAGTGAGCAATTGCTGCTGACAAAAGCTGATCCATGGGAGCCAATGGGTGACATCACTGCTCTCGAAATTCACAGCTGTGTCCAGCACCCTCTGTGCCAGAGCTTTAGGATCACATGGCTGGATCTGAAGCAGATTAATAGTTATGTGACACACAAGTTCTTTACAGGTTAGGCAGGCTAGGTAGGAGGAGGTGGGAGGGAACACTTTTAGGAATTTTAGAGTTTTCTTCCACTTTAACATCAGAGGGGATGCAGTTTAAATTGTATGTTAGGACAGAAAAAAAAAACCTTATGCAATACATGTCTGCAATGCATGTACATTTCCCTGGGTTTTATCCCTTTAAAGACCCTGCAAGTACAGAACAATACCTGTTGATCAACCAGAAATGCACTCAGCTCCATTTCTGGGGACTGAGTAGTTTCAGCCCTACCTAGGTGTTTTTGCTAAACTACTCAAGCTCTCTTCATCTCTATTACACATACAGTAGTTTTCCAATAGTCCAAGAAAATAACTAGGAGGGCCTATTAGACTCCCAAGGCATTATGTAGGCCATTCAGGTGCACTTTAAAGCATAAATGCAATGGTAGGGGGAAGTAGAAGCTTTGACAATAAAACCTGGAAGCATGATTGGTTACTATCACTGTACTAATGACACTGGATGGGAAGGGGTAATATCTAGGGGCAATCAAGCCTTTGTTTGCCTATCAATGTATAATGTGTGTAATATATGCTACTTTTACTTGCTGTTTTTTTCACCCTGCTTTTCAGGGAACAAGAAACGGCAAGATCACGCTTCTGTTTGCAGAGAGTCTGGTGTGTTTGTTAACACAGGAGTCTGGACTGTGATTAGACACAGAAGATCAGCAGATTTCAGCCAAAATCATTGGCTGAAACCTGTTGACAAAATCACGCTGTGTTCAATCACAGCTTGCACACGCTCACAAACCCATAAGAATCCAGGCACGTGTGGGGGTGTGTGTGTATATGTATATATATATGTATGTGTGTGTGTGTGACTGAGCCTGCCTGTGCGCCCCACTGCAGTAAATGTACTTTGGCAGGCCGGCAAGAAGTTAACGAAAGTAAGATGATTTCATATTAGTATACAAATCTATAGCTGATGTGATTTTTGGTGAAAGGGGAAAAGATCTGCTTTTAGGTTAGCCTTCTATATCATGTGTGGGTAACCTCTGACCTTCTGTCTTTCAAGCCCCAGCAGGCTAAGCCTGAAAATGTCTGGAAGTAAATGTTGGATGTTTCTCAGCTTTCTACCTGTTTGTTACATGCCACTTCCTTCATTATAGAAGTGGCACCAATTATTGCCAGTATATTTTATATACTATATTTTTTTTCCACATTACGACTAAGTATATTAATAATTGAGTAAGTGCTTATTGGTGCTTTATAGCTATTCCTGTTTTGTAGAAGAATACTAAAGCAGGATTGTAAACATTACAATTCCAGTGCACGATTCAATAAATAATTAGAAAATTGCTGAACCTTTCTTGTAGGCACACTTCTATGTTGGGATGTGAGATGTTAAGCGTTGCTGCCTGTATCCAGGGCCAGAGCATAATGGAGAACTTGGCTGGGAAGAAACATTTGCGTCTATCTGCCATAAAAACCTTCGAAATAAGTGCAAGGTACATTTTAATCCTGTAACAGAAAATATGTTTTAATTTAAATTAATCTGCATATCAGAGCAGTAAAGCAAAATATGTATAGCTTTGTATTTAAAGTAAGGAATAGATGAGGTAAGGGGTGTAGTTTATTTCTTTTCAATTACCCACATAAATAGGCAAATTAAATAGTATAATGTATAGAACAATGGTCCATAGTAAACAGTCCAAGATTCATTTTTAATCAAGAAAAAAAATCCAACTAAAACTTGTTGGTGTCCTCATTAAAGAGACAGGAAGTGAGGTGACATCTCCACAAGAAAAGCACATATCAAACAGTTATAAAAAAAAAAACAAAACAAAAGTGACTAATCTCTCCCTGTTCTATCCAAAATGAAATCAAATGTTTTGTCTGGAGTTGGGCTTTAAAGTAGATCTAAACTGTAGCAGGGTGAAATTTTATTTGATAAAGTACTGTGTATGAAACAATGCCTTTTTTTAGTACAGTTTTTAACATTCTCCACTTTTTTTTCTTTCTCATCTGTTGGGAGACATAGGAAATTGTTCAACTGTGGATTGTATGAACCAGTGTTTTTTCAACCTTATTTCAGTCAAGGCACCCTTTAGAATTGCGCACAATCCTGGGGCATGCCAGTCTGAAGGCTTGTTCATCCAGGGAGGTGAATCCGTGAGTTCTTTTTTGCATGTTCTCACATGTTGCGTTTTTTAATAAGCTGCTCTATGCTTGTGAAACATGCAAAAAAGGTACTGGCTTGATTTTTAAATTGTGCCCCACCAAACTGTATGGTACTGTGGTACCATGCGTTTTAGTTGGCTCAAACATACATAATAATTAATGGCACCCCACTCGTCTGCAAAAGGCAGCACATTTTTGTGCAGTGCGGTAAAACGCTCAATATGATATGCATTCTGCACTCTAAAATGTTGTCTCTAAAAATTTGTAAGGCAGTAGGGAGTTAAGTGGGCTGTAGCCTGTAAACCCCCCTGCTAGCACAAATCCCCCCATCCCCTGAGGGGGGTGGTAATTCGCACAGGACTTGCAGAGTTAGATTACTGCACCCACCCATGGGACATGAGCAGCCTGAAAGGAGATAGGGGGAGGTAATCCAGACTTTTATAGTCAGATCTGCACCCCTTGCTCACACTTTACTAATGGCTCTGGTGTTGCTTGCTTCCAGGACTTATGTTTGTATCTGATTTGTTGTGGCCTTAGCAGGCTCTAGTGACGCCGGATGTTTATCGGACGAGCTTGAATCCAAGGAGTTGCAGTGTCCTGCAATAACTCTCAAATTAGAAGAGACCACTTTGGCTCTTATTGAGATGGTACACATATTTTTACTAGCTCTAGTCTGAGTCACTGGTCCTGTAGAGCCCTGAAGATTGCAAAGACCTTCCCAGTGCACCCACTGACATGATGTTTGTTTCCCCCAAACACTTTTTAGTCTTGTACTCATTTGAAGAGGACTTTGTTTAAAACTTGTCAGTTCAAACCTCCTAGGACATCTCTGGTAATACTATACCCTATGAGGTTTATGAAATGTTTAGGATTGTGTACAAGCGACTAATTGTCTTTCTATTTTTTTTCTTTATAATTTATACCATATAAAACCCTGAAAAAGTGGCACATTCTCCAGTTTCACTTCATACCTCCACAACGGAACATTCTGTTGTGGGCAAGTCAGTGTAGTCCCTGGACAGACTGATTTGTTTGGCATGCATCACCGGGTATTACCTGGCTTAGTAGCTCAGGAATCTGTCTCTGGAATTGGTAAAATCATTGCTTTTTGCCTTTTTGAACATCCTGACAATGGGTGTCAGCCTCTTTGGCCTTTTGGACACCCTGAAGGTGGAGGAAACTTGGCCATCGTCAGAGTCTTGTTTACCAGCTAACATCCTGGGGCTCTGGGCAATTTGGCTGTCTTTGCAGTGATGGACCATGCTGGAGGGCCATCCAACTTGGATTCATTCATACAATGCCTCAGTAGTGGCACAATAGGGCTTATTTGATATCAGCTTGGGCTTAAGATTCTTCAGGTGGCTCTTTGAGATGCAGGTTGTTCCCAGCTTTCAGTTTTTTTCTTGGCCCTGTTAGCATTTATTTGCTGCGTCCCCACCCTTTAGTTGCACTACTTTTGGATGTCTCAAAGGTGAATGATATTCTGTGTGCCTTAATGGTCGAGAAAAAAAAAAAAAAATTACTGTTTTTCAGGTTGATTAATGAATTAAATTGTAAGTGTTAGTAGGGGAAATAAAAACAAAGGAGCTAGAGAAGTCTAAAGAAAGAATGGAAATTGGAGCAAATTTTTGGATCTACATATATAGTATTCAATATTCATGGATGGTAGCAACTTTGTCATTCTTGACATTTGACAACAACTTTAGCGTTTACATTAACATGGTAAAACTTAAATAAAAATATAAATTAGTGATTGGGTTCAGATCTACTTTAATGTTGTGCTAAAGACTTAAACAACAGAAGAAATAAATCATAGCACATTTCACCTTTAATTTGATTTAATTTGAACAAATTGTGAGCACACATTTATGTAGCAGTCAAGGTTGGACCCCCTGTGATTGCCCTCTTTCCATTCAATCCCCTGTAAGTTAGCACTAGTATGTTGCATGTGTGATTTGTATGTTTCATATTTGCTTCATGTTGTAATTTGATCTCTTCAGATTTGGAGGTGAAGCCAGCAGCCCCTCTCTGACACTTCAGGCAGCTAAACATTTTTGGCATGCTTGCTCTCCACTGACAAAATCTGCTAAGGAACGAGAACCTCTTAAGGATTTTGTTATTTGTGTTATAAAGGCCTGAATGAAGCAGAAACCAAGCAGAAACAGGTAAAGAATTCACAGGTTATTTTTATAATGAGCTCTCCAGTGACAGAGAATGCTGGTCTTGTCCCTTCTCATTTTAATGTTAGCCACTACAAAAAGTTTTACCATAGTGCCCGTATTATAGGATTGGAAAACCTGCGGTCAGTGTTTTGGATATTATCTAAAAAATAAAATACATTCTATACCAATTGCATCTAAACTAAGTATTGCAAACTTTGTCAAAGTCCACCTTTGATATACAAATAGCTGTTTACTGATGGTAAAACACAATACCCTACCAAAAACATACTATTCGTCACCAAAGGAATCACCTGCACCTTTTAAAAAATTGCACTGTACCATGTTTCCTTGATGCGAACACGCACCATAGAGAATAATGTGGTTTCCATTGTCACGCATTGTAGTGTGTTAGCAGGCGCAGGAGAAAATGCACTAGGGTCTTAGGACTATATCTGGCAATTTGACAAATGCTATTACATGGAATCAGTTTTTATTGTGTTCTAAGATCTCTTTGGAAAGCTGTGGATGCATATGTAATTGGTTTGCATACTGTAAATGACTTACTGTAAGGGACTTCTTTCATACTGTAAAGGTTTCACACCTTCTACCATGTTCTTGGACAATCCGCATCTGCCAAACAACTTTAATGATACCATTGTGTTTGGTTAAAATGACTGTGTTGGCAGTGTTTACGCTACCATCGTTTGGGAAGCTATTTGGATGTGTGGTGAAACATCTTCAACAGAATAAATAAAAACCTTCACAGACATATTTACAAAATTAATAAAAAGAAGATGCTTGTTATTCAAAGTGGCACAATTAATTATTCAGTTGTTCTTATTTGAAATTCATCCAAATGAAAAGTAACGAGATTATAAGACGATATAACTATTACATATTTGTGCTTAGGTGGATCCCTGAAGACTTTGTTGTTAATAATGTGTATTTTCTTTTTTCAGGGGACAGAAAATGATACCACTTTATTTTACCTGTGGCCTACGATGGACATTGAAAACCGTAAAGTGCATGACCCAGATAATCCTAAAGGTATATGAGTTAGTATTCCTGCTCAAAAGACATCGTCATCTGTCTATTCTTGTAAGAATTACCATAAGGAGAATCTTCATTAAGAATTGACAAGCCTTGCGTTAATTCAGTGTATATCAAGTATTTCCATAGTTTAAGTTGCAACGCTTTAGATGTAAGTTAGTAAAAGTAAATCCTTGTAATTATAATAACTATTGGCCCACTCGGTTGTCTAGAATTCTTTACAACTCTTCTCTTAAAGTGACTTTTCAGGCAACTGTTTATAAAACATTTTGATTATTTTTGCAAACTGTATTGCAGACTGACTTTTTCCTGTTTTGAAGATACTACAATAAACCAATACACTGTACTTGTTTAAATATCTTAATATGACATGATCATATTCACCAGACATGGTCAATCCTTCATTTGCACAATATTTTTTCCAGAAATTGTGGCAGTTTTCTTTTGTGAAAAAATATATACTCTAAAATACATACAAAACAGCACCAGATTGTATAAATGTAATGCTTCCAGGTACAAGAAATGTGCATGCATATTGTGTACAATCTTTCATTTATCTTGCATATTTGTGGTAAAGGAAATATAGGGAGATTTTACTCGCAGACTGTAACATGTATGGTCAGCTTTCGAAATGTATTTTGCATGAATGATCTTTCTTAAGCCGACCATACAGTCTCATTGTACAGTATTCTTCAGAGTTACCAACATATTGGAGAAGGGTTGCTGGCATAATTAAAATGATGGAAGAAACTTGTTGGTCATATTCATGTTTCAACCTGTAGATCTGATGTTAAACTTGCAAGTGCTCTGCTGTTAAAGAGTTCATGTAGGCCTCCACCTATGGGGTAGATCTGATTCACCCAACTGCCCTTGTTGTGCAGTAAACACTAGGTCTCTAATCCATATGTTGTGGTGTTGTCCCAAACTCCATTACTATTGCACTGCATTATACACTTAACAGTATTTGCTCTACTCAGGTTCCCCTAGACCAGTGTTTCTCAACCTTTTTTCAGTCAAGGCACCCTTTAATATTATGGACAGTCCTGAGGCACCCTTTAAAATTATGGAAGGTGCCTCAAAAACGAGGTGCCTCAAGACTGTCCATAATTTTAAAAGGGCACCCCATTCTAAAATGTAAAAAACTAATAGTTTATAAAATGCAGCAACATCCACACACGTAGGGCACCCAACGTTAGAGGGAATTTATTCTTCCAAAGCAAATACACTTTTGCACACTGGTACTGAGTATTTCTCTTCGCCCTCAGTTTCTCTTCATTATTGAACTAATGTGACCCCAGTATTGATGAAGAGGGGCAGGGAGGGTAAAACTAGGATGCTGTGCAGGCAGTTGACATCCTCCTTATCAACTGATGATGTAATTGGTTGTCAGGACACCGGTGACTAGAAGGTCATAATGGTGCACAATGAAAACCTGTGACTTTGTGTAACTAAAAAGCAGGCTTGTTCCACCTGCTGGCCTGTATACAAGTTTTGGACAAATTTTAGACATTTTGCCAAGGCACCCCTGAAGAAACCTCACGGTATCCCAGGCCTGGGCACTCTATTTGAGAAAGGCTGTCCTAGACCCTAAGAGTGCTCTATTAGGTATTATTCCGGAGGAGGTGCTACCCTTGAAATATAATATATTATGGTCAGAGTCGTGTATATTTCTTGTAAACGTATTTTGCAGAAATGGCTCTCGCCTAACCCTCTAATGAATTCCACTTAAAACCAGAGGAATTAACATACAGACACAGAGGTTGTTCAAAAAAATTCTGTAAAACATGGGACCCCTGGTTATCCTCAGCTGAATCTGCTTTTATCTCTACAGACGTTTAAGGAAAAAGTATAATTTTCTCAGTTCTTGTCGATCATGTATTTTTGTCTTTATAATAGGTAAAGTAGTTGCCTAAGTAAGCTGTTTACTAGTAATAGGCTGTAAACCTCGGTTGCTCCATTCCAATAAGATCTCATTTAGAACAAGGAATTAAGGAAGCCATCTGATTTTTTCTTTTCATTTGCCATCATGTGTTAATTCTGTTTATGTTTACTGTACTTTTGTGTTTTTTTTCTTTTTCTGAAAAATGAAAAAAAAAAAAAAGCTTTCAATAAAAATGACCTGATTTAAAAGAAAAAAAAAGAGTTCATCTACTCAGACTTATATATTATAGTTAGTGAAAGGCAAAATGTCAATGAAAAATTCATCCATCTAGATAACCATGGCTTATCATTGACTGTCACATGTAGACCAATATGGATTGCTGGCTGCTTTCAAATATTCTTTGTAATTAGTGGCTGCAAAATACATTTTGGACCAATAACACACTGATGTATGTTAAATGACAGGATTTGTCTGACTCAGACATTGAAAGCAGTTAATTTTACAGCTCCTGTCATACCTTTACCTCTTTGGCTTTAATGTGTTACCTTTACCCCTTTGGCTTCAGTGTAATGCTATTGTGTTGCAGCAGTCTCCAGTGAATCCATTGGATATAATGAAGAGTTAAGCCTGAAAGCTGGACTTTATGAGCTGCTGTTCATATTACATGCTGATAAGAATGATTGGGAATCGGGTCTCAAAGTGCTGGATGAAGCCATCAACATTCTGCCACGTACTAGACACAGACTGTAAGTATTTACTTATTTTTCTCTCTCTTTTTTAATTAAAGCTGAACTCCAGGCAAACAAGTTAAATGCAAAAATGAAATACATATATTGGAGCTGTTTTACCTGCCAAAAGATTTGTATTTCTAGCAGTTTTTTGTTGTTAGCTGCAGAGTGTGTTTCATGTCTAGAGCTGCTGCCTCAACACTCCCTGTTTTTACAGACCGACTAACTGAGTAGGCCAAGCACTGGTAGCTATCTCATTTTCATAGATTGTTGAGAAGCATCTCCCTACTGCTGCTTCTGCTTGCAAAGAGCTATGGGGAAGTTACACCTTTGATCTGTTACTGCTGGCTGCCTACAGTAACTTTGGTCACCTCCAGCATTGTAACCCTCAGTTGCTACCAATTGTCAATGTTTTGAGTGTGCCAAAGGCTGTGCCTCATGCCTGAACCTGTATGTTTACTTACTGATATGTGGTCAGTGGTCATTAGGCAGCCCCAGATTGCACAGTCTGTCACAAGAATGTGGTGAGTCTTTGTGGAAACAGGCTTAAGGACTATGCAGTCCAGATGGCCAAGAGGATGGAAGGATGGAAAATTTGTACTTGTTCTGAAAACCACTGCGAGAGTAACCCTTTAGTGAGTTTTTGAACTTTACTTTTAAATAAATGTGGACAAAATGCCATGAAATGTACTTTTCTGGCTGGATGAAGATCATCAAAGATACTACAATTGAACTGAGTTACCACAATATATACAAAATACTGTGGAGTTGAATTAATAAGACTAGAGAGTCCAAAATCTGGTGCAGCTCTGCATAGAAACCAATCAGCTTCCAGGTTCTTAGTCAAAGCTTTATTGAACAGGCTGAAGTTAGAAGCTGACTGGCTACCATGCACAGCTGCAGCGGATTTTGTACTTTTGGCACTTTCCAGTTTAATAAATGTGTGTGCGTGCGTGTATATATATATATATATATATATATATATATATATATAAAATACAATGGTTGTTCACTTTCGTGAAATGCAGCAGCTGTTAGTGACTATCACAACTCTCCATAGTCTGTTTGCTACAGAACTTGCAATTGATACAATGCATGAAGAGACAATTATTTATTAGGCAGTGAAATGGTCAGGGTTCATCCATAGCATCTAACCTTGATAAATGTAGATGGCATATAAGTGGTTGTTAAATGTTTAAATTCTTCATAAAAAAATAATGCTATTTGCCTTGCTGTGTTTTCAGTCTAAATTTGTTTATCCTCATTGATCAGTTTTCCTTTATTGATTTATTTATCCTCCTCTCTCAGTGTCATCTTCAAACACCGTGTTCTTGTAAAGGCACGTTTGGGTCATAACTTTTTCATGGACATCCAGAAGTTCAAGGATGAAAGTGAAGACTATGTGTCATACATTTGGCATAATGTTGCCAAAACCTGCAGAAGCGACCGTGAACAGTTAGCCTGCTATATGAATGCAGTTGATGCTTTGAAGGTTTGTAAACCAGATCTTTCTATAGACATGTCACTGCTGAAGCTTCAGAGGACATGTAGATCCTATTGTGTTCATTAACACCCTGGATACCACCCAACACGCAATTTTATGTATTTCTGGTCAGTTTTGCATTATTCATTACATACAACATATTCTGTGTTCTGTCTTTAAAGAAACCAGAAAATGATTGGCAAAAAGTGGAGTACTTGCTAGAACTAGCAGAATGGTTGTACTGCAAACAGTTTTCTCTAAGCGATGCCATGAACATGCTTGATTGGGCGGTGGATATACTGCTTCATATGAGGTTCTCCAGTAATTCAGAGGAAGGTGAGAAGCACATCTGTATAGTTTTCAATATAACAACTATCTAGAATTTTGTTTGTAGAGTCAGTTGCTGTCTTTTTTTAGCCTGTTTTGGCTTAAACAGGCTGCCTTAAAGCCTATACCATTTTTTTTGGACTGAATAAGATCTTGTAAAAACCCCTGCCTGGCTTTTTTACATCCGTGTCCCTTTTGGAGATTTTCCTTCATTTCCTGTCCTGTAGGCACAAGAGGAACTGAGATAAGATCTTTCCAGAGAGAGGGATAACCTCTCGTAGACAACTGCCACCAGAAAATGTTTCCACATCGAAAGATTTCATCTCTAATTCTTCTCTGGTGACAACTCAATTTTTTTTATTTTCTGTTACTTTACTTTAAGTCTCAGTGAAAATAGTTACCAGGACAAATAGAGAAGGTAAATCTCAATAGAAGGGACACAGTAATAAAAAATGGATGGGTTCAAACCCTCACCACTCAACCCAAAATGTAAAAAAGTTTAAAAAAGTTAAATAAAATAGCTTTAAACACCCTACACAAGAAACTTACCCTTGCCTTTTTGCGGTTTCCATTGAAATGAATCAAAATGCACATCAACGGCTGTCATAAAGCATATCAACGTACAGCAACGCAAAATGCTTTTCAATACACAATTAAATACACAGCAGTACAAATCAATCAAAATTTTTATGCATTTTCATTGATTTTATGGAAATGATGGACCAAAAAGGAAAGGTGTTTCTAGACCTTCAATTCAACTTTGTGTATGTAAGTACCTCCACCCAGGAGCCAAATCTTATCCACAGATCTGTAGTCCTGATACAGATTTGTGTAGACTGTATTTATATTTGATATATTTTATTTTCTGTCTGTTATTTTATTTATTCCATTTTGAAATGTATAGTTTGCTATAGGTAGACATAGGTCTAGTAGGTATAGTAGAATTATTTGTGTGTAAATGATTTTTTTAATTTCTTCAATTGCCTTTGTAAGCAGGTAAAACTCAAAAAATAAAAGCAAAGCCTAGAAAGAAATCATCCCAGAATAAGGAGCCAGCAAGTGAACAAGATCCAAACCCAGAGGTTACCGAAACAGGACCTGGAGAACAGTTGGGAAGCCCTTGTAACTCCCTGGAAAATTTGAAGAACATTAGACAGCTAGAGGCCTTAGCACGAGCTCACACTTTAATGGCTTCTCTTAGTGGGAAGGGTTCACATAATCATGAGCAATACTCTCTGATGGCATATGCATATATAATCCGAATTTGGCAGGTATGATGGCAAATTGCTTTCTTTTGTACTGCAAAACTTCAATAGAATTCTTTATATTGTATGTATATTGTATATGAAAACTTTAAAGTTGATGGTTATAGATATTCCTAAAATGTTTAAATTAATTGGAAATTTCTGACATCCAGGCAAGAAAGAATAGGAAGATGGGCTCTGGTTTCTGTCCTTCCAGGCCAGAAAGGGCCTACTCCGCTTCTTTCTCTCTGCAGTGCAAACCTTAATACCCAGAAACTGGAATTCACCTATTGTGTCCTGTAACGGGGAATAGGTAGCCAAACTTAACCATATAATGAGAATAAAGGAGCTCAATGCGAGCCTACAGGAAGAGTATCCTACCCACAAGTTGCAAGCTTGAAGAACAATGCTGCTACCCTCTCCTGGACTGGGACCTCCCTTTAGCTTCTTTATTTAACTTTTCTCTTCTCTTTCTATGCTTCCCCTCTCTCTTCCTTATGTTAACCTCACTTCAGCCCCTTCTCTTTCTTGGATTGTTTTTTGGTGTAGGTTACACTGGTTTGCATAGAATAACAATTTCAAGAAACCTGAGCTTTAACTGCCTGTCCAATATCGGTGGCTATGATGTAGCAATATATGTGTGTGAAAAACACATACGATGCTTCCTTCCACTGACCTTTGTTAATGATTTCTTATTATTATTTTGCCTGTCCTCACCCTGTATAATCTTTGAAAAAAGTTTAAAAAACTAGATGGGAAGAATGGGAAGATGTGACTTAGTAGAGCTCAGCATAGAGATTGCAAGGTGGTAAAATATAAGATATGTTTATACACTAGGTATATTTCACTCCTCTTTCCACTAAACCCATTCAGTGCAGTTTACCTTTAAATGCACACTTGTACTGCCTATAAAATGTATACAATTTACAAACTACGAAAGTTGTTTTACCATTGGTGTATATCCATTTTTATAGAATTGTTTACTTATAGATAGTGTAAATATACAATAGCATATACTGTAGATCTATTATTATGCTTACTCCTAAAAGGTAGTACACCAGGATACGGATTGACACTTAAAAAAAAAAAAATTGTCAGTGCAATGAGAAATTGCAGTCACATTGCTAAGGGCAAGGATCTTTGCAATTGGGCGACTTTGTGAATTGGGCTTAATCTGCTTTGGCTCCTGTCTCATTTCTCCCTTGTCGTTCTGGACCATAGGGGTAGGTTTACTAAAACTGGTGCCCTCAGAATCTGGTGCAGCTGTTCATCGTAGCCAATCAGCTTCTAACTTCAGCTTGTTCAATTAGGCTTTGGCAATAAAACTTGGAAGCTGATTGGTTGCTATGCAGACTTGCACCACATTTTCCATGCTCCCCGTTTTAGTATATTAACCCCATAATGTCACCTAAGGACAGCCAGAAAAAATAAGATGTCCTTATTGTTTATGTCTAAAGCCACAACCTGTTAGAACTTTATAGAAGCCATTATATATGATGATGTTTGATAGCATTTCAAACGAAGGAGGAGTCAATTAGTATATTTCCATGTGGTGCTCTTCTAAAGCCCTATGCATTTTGTATCTTATTTTGTAGAAAAGGCCCAGTGTGCACTCATTTATTATAGAAATGCCACCAAATACAGTTGGTGGAAAAAAATTTAAAAAGGGTCCCTGTGCAAGAACAATATCTGAGCCTTTTATTTAACTTCTGCCTATACATAAACACTTATTGTTCTAAATACTCTTGCCGGCCGTAATTGTAAAGACCCCTTTAATTTCAACAGTGAACACCTCTTTCATTTCCAGTACAAATGTGAAAAAATAGTAGGAGAAGCATTCTGTACATCTTATTAGTGGTCAGGCAGGAAGTGAAGGTACTTACTTCCTAATACCACCTGGATATTACAAACCAGGAGCATAGTTTAGCCGGTCATAGATGGTTCAAATCCAAGAGATTCCAACATCCAGATTCCAACATCTATAGGCAGGCCTATTGTACCCAATTCGATTGTTGTACAACTAGTCGCTAGTAATAATCACTGTGTTCTCCCAGCAGAGACAGTTCAAATCGAGCGATTTTCTTTTCTGCAATCTGTTGTTGCATAAAAGAAAATTGCATCATCATGGCCTGCCTTAGGATATCATAAAGAATGCCTCTGGCTTCTCATTTATCTTTTTTTTTTTTTATTCCATAAAAGTTTATTTAGAAGTGACAACATGTTACAGGAAAATATAAAGAAATGCACACACAGCATCAATCAGGTCATAGACACAGCTTAAACCAAAATACAGGAAGAAACAACATGGTAGAGTGCGACACTGTGGATAACATAAGCATGTCAAGTTACGGCAGAGATAGGCCTGTAGTACTCAAGGTTCAAAAATGTACAATATAGAAGGTAATAACAGCTTACTTCCACCAATTGATTATTGGCGTACTGGCCTATGCATGGAGGAAATGAACCTTCAGAGCCTAAACCAAAAGCAGTACGCTATCATGAGGCTAAGTGAGCATCGAAGTATAAGAGAAGATGTCATGAGTACCAGTGACTATCCTAGAGGAGGTAAGCTAACCATATACCAAGTAATCCTGAATAAAACGAAGACTAAGCCTGATCGAAGACTAAGAGGTTGTCGAGAAAGAAAAAAAAAAGGAATAGAAAGAAAGAAAAGGACAAGAAAAGGAAAAGAATGGGAGTCATAGTAGAGAGAGAGGAGAGAAAGAGGGAAAAAAAAAAAAAAAAAAAAAACGGGGGGGGGGGGGGAGGGGGGGGGAGGGGGAGAGGGAGAAAGGGGGGATAAGAGGCAAAAAAAGGGAAGCAAGGGAATCGAAAGGTCCGGGCTGCGAAGTTTGTGTCAACATTGTTATTGGAAATCATAAATGAGAGTGTCAAGAATTTAAACACTCACCAAAGCTAAGCAGGCAAATATAAATTACCGGAAAGGAGGTCATAACCACACAGATTATGAAAGAACCAAGGGCATAACCAAAGGTAGGGCTGAGCTCAATCAGGTATCCCGACCCATGAGAGATCCGAATTCAGGGGTAGTTACAAAGTGGGTCCAGCAGGCCCAAACATGTGAGTATTTAGTTGGCATATCAAGTGCAGTCGCAATCAGTTCCTCCATTTCCGCCACTTTGCCTACTCGATTGAGCCAATCGCGTATAGTTGGGGGGTGAGTGGAGCCCCATAGCACAGGAAGACAGAGTCTGGCCGCGTTGATCATATGCATCACTAGGGACTTGAAATATTGACTCCTAGGAATGGGGGTATGATGAAGCAATAGCTGAGCAGGAGAGAAAAAACTATGGGCAGAGTGGTCACTGAAGTCACCAACCGGTGGACCTCCTGCCAGAATGGTTGAATAAGTGGACAGGACCACCAAATATGTAAGAAAGAGCCATCAGGTGTCCCACATCTCCAGCACACGTCAGGGACAGATGAGTTAAACCGATGAAGTCTGGAGGGAGTACGATACCATCTAGTGGCTAATTTGTAGCATTTTCCTGCGTCGAAACATTACTCGAGCAGGAGTGGGAGTACATAAATATGCGGTCCCAATCCGACTCCGATAAATCCGTCTTTAGGTCTCTGTTCCACGCACGGCAAGAGGTCTCATTTATCTTAATAGGGTCCTGGTTTGTGCAATAGCAGAAAGGGGTCCTAGCATATCCTTTTTGTAAATTGTGACCATAAGCTCCAAAGGACCCTTGTACAGTACAGCTGCACGATCTGCACAAATAATTTGTTTGCCCCTAAAAAAGTGCCCATAGTGGAGAGTTGAATGCCAGAAACCATAACAGATTTCTTGATACACACTTGTTGCTAATGAATGACCTACAGCTGAATGGAACAAAACAAAGGCCAAACCATTGTGGAAGCAGTCAGTAGACAATGGCACATAAATAAATAGCCACTGTAGAAAAGAAGTATCTCAATCACTACAGAAGTATGAAGCAACAGGGGTCTGAATCCTAGGTGTGTAATTGCAGCTCAATCCATGGTATTGGTTACATACAGGGAGTCCACTGAACCACAGTAACCACAGTCAATGAAAAGTAAGAATGGGGCATGGTGATTTATCCAATTCTTACAGGGCTATTAGAGGAAATTGTGTTTTTAATGTAATTTAGATCCAACTTTTTAGGTACCTGATATTACATTCCTGTAATCTTCTGCACACCAAGACTTGGGGAGAGAGAAGCAGTACTAGTAACCAGTTTGGCTTAGCCATTGTGCACAGGAGACATGCTGACTGTAGAAGAAAACATGGTGAGCAAGGAAGGGGGGAATCGGGGTTCATGATTCATTGCTTTTCTGCTACTCCTTCAATGTGCAGTCAACAGGCTAGGATAGTTCTTGACAAAGCTGCAGTGGGAGTTGAGGATCTGAATGTGTTGTCTGTCGGGTGTGCCTGGATAGCAAAACTGGCTGCACAGACTTACAAATCCTTTGGCTGGCAAACTGTTTTCATGTGTATTTCCACTACATGTTTAGCTATATATTATTGACCTAACAGTTCCATAATATATGAAACAGTGGCTATACTGTTTGGAAGCTTGACTGTTGGAATAGATCATTTATTTTGAGAATCCCTATTTGTGACTTTGTATTTGTTCTAATATCATTAATGCAGACTGTTATGCATCATTTCTCAAGACATCTGACTTATCTTTTCAACATCAATGTAGGTATCATTATCTGCAGCATCTTCTTTCATGAAATCATCTCAAAAAAATCCTGCCTCTGTTCAAAATCCACAATCTGCATCGTCCCGTAAAGAGAAAGGAAAGAAAGAAACAAGTGAGGTAACTTGTATGTGACTGAATGTACAATATGATTTCTAGGTTTAGAATTTTTAATTGGAATTTTTACATAATCATGCATGAGCTTATTTAATTCTGTAATGTAATGGACAGTTGTATCCATCAGCAGTCCATCAGCAGTTGCATTTCATTAAAGGGTCCCTGTCAAAGACCTACAGATTTGCAAGTAAAAGTACAGAAAAAAATCAAATGTTTTAAATTCTCACTTGCAGAGTTTTTCCTTTCCATAAATTATTTTTTATGCCTTTGAACTTGCAACAAATTTCACATCAGGACTTTAGTCACAGTCTTCTGCTTTTTTGGGAGTGACTAATTACTGTCTTTGCTGGCCTAGCTCCTCCCATCACCTTCCTACCATATTTTTCATGTAGCTGCTGGATGAGGAGCAGTGGGATAGACTACAGAGTGCCATGTGAATGACAGCTCTGAGTCTGCAGGGGCTGCTGACATCACATCCACGATGGTGGTACCCATCAGCAGTCTCAGGGCTTTTGGAGAGGCTTTTAAAGATAAATAACATCCATAAAATGTTAAATGCACATGTACTCTAGTGGGGCATTTGTTAAAAATGAATGGACTGGAACAGGGTTTTCTTAAAGAATATGTAAACCCAACATTTCATATTCCTGATATGCGCCTGCTGTACCATGTACTTGTATGAAAAATATCCTGTTCTCTTTGTATTGCTTCCTTTGTGTGAAATCCCTGGTGTTCCTGCCAATCCTTCTGCTTTCCTATTAAAAACTGAGCACACTAAGCAGGAGAATACACCGTGGTCAGTTCTCTAGCTGTGCTGGGAACTCAGCCTGCTCTCCCCCCATGATCAGAGTTGTCCTGACACCCGCCCCTCCGCACAGCCTATCACTCATTATACATTTGTGCAGTTTTGGAGATTATCTGTGGATCCATTCACAAAATTCAAAGCATTCTTTGAATGGACAGAAGGAAGGATAGACCTCCACTGATACCAACAATGAGACACTATTCCTCCCAGTAATACCAATGATGGAGTACTGTTTACTCCCACTGATGCCGGGGCATATTCTACTCTCCAACTGGCCACAGTCTGCTCCCCTTAAAGTATGAAGAACAGTAAACTGGCCCTTTGTTTAGAAAGATTGGAGACCCCTGCTCTACGTTAAGATACGTTGGCCTTCAGTAAACCGAGTAAAAAAGCAAAGCTCAGGGGATCATGCAGTGACTTACAGCAATCAATAGAATTCACTGCTGAAGTCTGACCAATACAATATGCATTTTGATAATTTTGCTCCGTGCTTTGCTTTTTTTGAATAAGCACATTTTTTGCACCTAGTATAAAAGGATCAAATAATAATGTAGAACATATTTGTGATATTCACATTATTATATAACTGAATGTGTAGGCAAGGGGTTTCTTCCCCACACAAGGCAGCATGGTTTGTTGGCACAGACCTTCTTTACCTCTTATACTATATAGCATGGTATGCACTGCTAAAATGGAATTGCTTGAATGACAAGATGTATCCCATTTCTAGTACCACTAAGTTGCTCATGTGCACTAGCCTTGGGAAAACTAACTTGGTCCTTCAAAGAACTCTCCATCGAACTATTGTGTGCATGAATATGCTGATAGCATTGAAAGGATCACTTGGATGTAAGAAGTAAATACCATTGTTCTGTAGTCTTTCCTGCAAGAGATAAAATGTAGAAAGTCATAAAATAGTTACCTATGAATCAAGTATATCTCATACACGGAATGAAAATGGTGATGATAATGAGAGGCTTGTCAACACAGACCCATTAAGAGTGCCCTAATACTATAAACATGGCTGCAACAACTACATTTTATCAGTTAAATGGCTAGTATATTACTTGTCATCCTATAAAAAGGACTTAGTGAATGCCCAAATCTCTGTAATTTTTATACACTTACATAGAGAGTAAACTAAAACTCTGTACTCAGAATATAGATTTAAAATCTCTAGAATTGTTTGTAGAACCCTCATGTTTGATAAGTTAAACTTTTAAGTGGTTGTAAACCTCTGACATGAAATATGAATAAAGCATATCATCTAGTGTGTACTTGTCTCAATCCAGAGCACTAAGTCTCATTTCTGTCTGCTGCTTCATTCCTCTGCTATTTGCATGAGTCACTTCTGACAAGTTTTCCTGACACCAAGATATAAAAAGGGGAGGGAGCTCCAGCAGAAAGCCTGCCATTGACAGCATCACCTCTGTTCCTGTGTGAAGGGGGTTGCGTCACTTCCCTCCAATCAGCTCCCCACTCCCTGCTTTCTAGAATCTCAAACAAGCTATATAAATTCAGCACTTTGAACAGATATAGAGGAGAGAAGACTGCAGATAAACAGGTACAACCTATGTAGGAGGATTTGTTTCATCTCTGTGTATCACTTGAGGCCAGTCTCTTCATTGGATATATGTAAGGGTTTACAACCACTCTAAATATAGCAACTGGTTGGGGGTAAGCAGCAGGGGTAATAAGGCTTGAGAGTATGACTTGTATACAGCTGCACAATATACATATCCCATGGGATTTTTCATCTAGCCAGCATCAGCATCACTACCACACTGCTCGCCACCAGTCCAGACACTGGTCTGATCTGGAATGTTAAGATCTGCAGCAGTAACGTTGCAGAAACGTGCCACAATCCCTGATGAATATAAGACATGAAGTGAGCTGGCAGTTCTGTGAGTGAGTTTACCTTTAATGAACTGATAGGTGACACGGGAAGTGATACTTCGGTGACCATGTCTTTCAGTAGTCACCTAACTGCAGAATGTGTAATCTTACTCTTTCCACAGCCATTCTGATTATGATGATTATCAACATACTAATGACATTTTTCAATAAAATATTTCTGTTTTCATTACACTTCTTCATTACGTACCTTATTGTGTACACAGTGATGTCATCATTTGGCCTGTGTGTTTCTCTATGCGGTACAGACAGATCATGGCTGATGGCCCTGCCTTAGTACTCTTCTCAAGAGTCCTAGCCCTGATGCAAGCTCTTAAGAGAAGTTATGCAAAATAAAAATGTCGTGATGGATGGATGTCAGTCTGGCCATTCCAAGGAGGCTGCATGGGTAATACCCATTTGTGATTCCTAGCCTCCGCGATTGCTTAAATCCATGTATGCCTGTCCCTGGAAAAAGTCACAGCCATCCACAATACAACAATACAACAACGGTTTCAATTCAATAATTTAAATTAAATGTATGGAGGACATTACCAGTTCCCTTAAGGGCACTGATGAAAAATGTTTGTTTCATTGGATAAACTTTATCAATACATAAGAATATAAATGCTACTGGAACGCCTAAGAAAAGTTGAAACTTATCACCACACAGACTCTCCCCTCCCAGCTTATGTGGCTTTGTAACTCTTTAAGATTATTTGTTTCTCAATTTTTTTTTATTTTTTTCAGCCTGTTTCAGTCAAGGAGAAGCCTAAGCGGAAAGGACCAATTGACGGATTACCTTCAAATGCAGAGGAGTGGGCCATGTATGATTGTCCTGATGAGCTTAGAGATGCATTTAAACAAGATACATCTTCCCAAGTCATAAACAGAAGTACCATTGTGAAACCAGTAAGTCTTATAAAGAATTGTAACCAGTAGGAGACAGAACTGATCATACACAGAGGATCGCAGTCAGACTCTCAGAATAAATGACACTATGGTTTGTCATCTTAATTACCAGTACAGTAAAAATGAACATGTTAACAGCCTTTCTTTGTGGGAAGATTTGTATATTATAAAACATCATTCTCTAAGCCAAGGGTGCTCAACCTTTTGAAGAGCGAGGGTCACTTAATTGATTTAATAACCGGTTGAGGGCCACAATGAAATGGTTTAGAATTAAATTTTTTTTATTTTGAATAGCATAATGAGCATTTTCCTTCTGCAGCCGCTGAATGCCGGAGGGAGGGAGAGAAAGAAAAGCCGACTTTCTGTAGTTGCAGGAGAAAAATGCAGAAAATCATTCCTGTACATGCCACCCCCTCTGCCCCTCCTGTCCAAGTGTAAAACAGAATGTGACAGGGAAGCTGCAAAGGCCCCCTGAAGCATGGGGCTGGGTCACCCTTGTGATTACTGACACTACACTAGTGGTTGGGGGGTGTGGCAAGAACATGTATCATTGGTGGGGTTTTACTGCCCCCCAAATCGCAAATGTTACCAAGCTCATACTGTCCTGAGCTCCCTATAAGGCTGCTTTTACACTGATGCGCTGCTACCCACCATCCCAGAGCGTAAGGACACATCACAGAGACCCTGCTCTAAGCCTGTTACAGACTTCATAGACTCTAAGGGCTCATGTACACTGCACCTGATAAACTCATGTTTAGGAGCTGTTCAGCGGTTTTTTTCAGCAGCCCCTGAACTCTCCCTACTGTTTTCCTATGTGTCCATGTACACTCTGTCGTTTACAGTCGTTTAGAGGCAGTTGAGTTTACAGTTGTTTTTTTGAACACAGAAAACTTGCGTTCAGGAGTAGATTTTGTCAGCGTTTCATACGCTTGGAAATGTGGCTAACCGCATTTGTAAGAGTTTGCATTTGAAATTTTTTTTTAACTTTTCCATTTCTAGATGCTGTCCAGAGCCTTTTTTCATCATGAAAAATGCATGCAAAGCGTTTTCCCGGTACTCAAATGTACCTAGCACACCATACTTTGGGGTTTCTCATGAAAGAAAATACAGTAGACACTGCTGCAAAAATTTCTGCACAGAAATGAGCTGGAACACATCCAAACACCACAAAAAAAAAAAGAAAAGACAGCTAATCTCAACAAATATTGCTCTATCTGCTTCTGCTCTCTCTATTTCTCTCAAAATTTCTAAAATAGTTAATTTTTTACTGCTTATCAGTGCATTCTGGGCATTTTGGAAGGTCTCCTGAGGTTATCTTTAAAAAACGCTTCAAAATGCAAATGCTCATAAACGCATATGATCGCAGTATTCAAACACAGCTAAACAGACGTTTTTTAACCTACGTTTTCCAGCAGTCAGTTTCCATTGTTCAGAAGTGTCCCGTGTACATGGAGCCTAATAAATCATAACACACATTTCAGCAGTGTGCGTTACATATTCATTGTAAAAAAAAAAAAACCCCACCAAATAATAACTTTTGCCAATACTCATTCATTAATTTGGCAGCTCTTTATATTAGTAGAATGATTGTATCTAGCTGATAATTCATCACTTCACATATTCTTGCATTGTATGAAACCTCAGGTGATACCATATATTGGCTCTTGATGCTGTTCCCAGGATATTCCTATACTATATATACAGTATGTGAAGTATAGTGTATTTTCAGAGAATGCACATTTTGAGTTTTCATTTCAATGACAATCTTAAAGGCATATGTCATCTTTACCAAAAACTGCCTATGCAGATAAGAGACGTCTGTAGCTGATAATAGGCTGTGGAGCTTTGACCAAAGTCGAATAATACCTTTCTATAGGTGTAGTTCATTTATGTACCTCATGAAGCCTGGTTGGAAAAATCCCAGGATGTTGCTAAGAGAGGCCCAGCTATTACTGTTTATCTTCACCATCACAGGAGAGAGCTCTTTGATTCAAACCCCCTCACTTGCACTTTCTCTCCCCTGATGCAGTAGCTCTGAGCTCAGCTCACCTGTGATGGTGAAGGAGAACAGTAATAGCTGGGCCTCTCTTAGTAATGTCCTTAGCAAGGTCCTGGGAGTTTCCAGTCAGGCTTCAGCCCTATGATTTGTTTTTTAATTTATAATTCTATAACATAATGTTCTGTATAACATAATTAAGGAAATCAAATCAGATCAGTATTATTTTTAAAATCATCTTGTGTTGTCTTACTCTGCAGACATACAGTCTCTACTACCTAGGTCTACTTGTAGAAGAATTGCACAGCATTTCATATACACATTTGACACTTTCTGTTCTCCAACTGTCAGAGGTTATCGCACATGACATTGTGGAAAGTAAAAGTCTGTCGGATTTCTACCATCTAAAGTAGGTACTATCTACTACACTACTACATTTAATGGATTTAGTGTACATCAGTTGCTATTTGATATACTGTACACAATGCTGTGTGGCGCATTTTATATGATAACATATTCTAAAGTACAGTAAATTCAAATATATTATACAAGAATAGAAGTGAGCCAGACTGAATCTGGCAAACTGTTGTCAAGTACACATACGTTTGAATAATCTGTGTTGAATATCTTAGATTTGTAGCCAGTTGACTTCTTGGTTCACTTTGAAAAGCAAATTGTTCTGCCCTAGTTACCATTCTGACACACCAATGGAACATGCAGGTTTCATTGTAGAAAGAGGGCTGAAAGAGCATTTTAAGCACAAAGAAGTCAAAAAGAACACTGGGGTCCATTCTCCCAAACACCTACATTGTAAAATAGAAAATAAAATGAGATGCATAGAATGGAGTATCTTATGTCTTTTGTTGCTGGTCCCACATTCTCTTAAAAAGAAAAAAAAAAGGGTTTATATCAGATGATAAATTGTCTCCAGGATTAAACTTTAGTAACACCTATGACAAAAGATATTGTTTTTTCCCATAATAAACCCATCGAAGCTTGAGATCCTGAGAGTTTCCAGCATTCTGAATTGTTCTGCTGCAGCCAGACTGTTTTGACATACAGTATAGTGCTAAAAGAGCATTACACCTAAGTGACCAATTTACCAGGATAAAGGGGCATCATTTGCACATGAATTTCTCTCTTATGCAATTCCACTGCCTGAAGAGCCTGGTGTGTCTTTAGCATGGGCTCTTGTTTTGTGCAGGTGCCATCTTTTTATGGATACGCCACCATACATTTTTGTTTTTACCAGAATAGTAACTTTGACAAGATGGAACTAAAGGAACTGCCATTGCTGAGGCAATTAGAGGGTCTTCAATCTCCTGAACTGTCAGGGTCTGTGTTGAAGGGCTTTGGGCTTGTGTCAATGGAATTAGTTTGTTATTAGTTTAAGATGTTTTTGAGATGATTCAAAATGTATTGACAGGTGCATTTGACTTTCTGTTGATGTCCTTCTGACTAGCATTTGACATGCCTATAGACTTTATGGGAATACAAAATCTGCTTGAAGTGAACAAATGCTTATTGGCACAGGCCCTTAGGTGTTAGAACAGCAGCTTCTAGGTGTTCAGTCCCGTTGGCTGTTTGTAGGCTTTCAGTGAGCAGTTCGAGGGTGGCAAAGCTGGCCATACATGGATCGAAATGCGGCCAGTTCAGCAGGTACCAGCTGAATTTTTACCCATGTATAGGTTAGCTGGTCGTACGCAAGTTGATCTATCAATTTACTTGCTTACAACGAGCCTGTTGGGTTTTTCCTGAATGATCAGTGCCACCTGTTATAGCCAATAATACTGATCATTGTATTCTGCTGGTGGGGAAGGCTTCCTGCTCGGAGAATACAATAGTACAGTGGGACAATTCCCCCATCCAAAAACTAAATGTGTGGATGAGGGAATCAGCTCATTTGTGGCTCATGGGGGAATTGGTTGCATAACGCTAAATGAGGCAGAAAAATAATTCCTTCAAGTCCCACACAGTTATAATAATAAGACTGAACATTGAGCTGCTTCTATAAGCCCAAAAATGACCTTTACTTAAAAAAACAAAAAACAAAAAAAAAAACCTCTTTTTGAAGAGGTTTTTTTTTTACCATTTTCAGACCAAATAGTCATACACTACGTATTAAGTAACATTTATATAAGTACCTATTTAAAATACACATGTCACTAGATCCTTATGGACTGCCATTGTTGACATTTCAGTTTGAAAATGTTAATTCCCCATCTGTAATGCTTATACTGTGGCTTCAGGACTGTCTAACCTCTTTTTGAAGAGGTTTTTTTTTTTGTTACCATTTTCAGACCAAATAGTCATACACTACGTATTAAGTAACATTTATGTATCTATTTAAAATACACCTGTCACTAGATCCTTATGGACTGCCATTGTTGACATTTCAGTTTGAAAATGTTAATTCCCCATCTGTCATGCTTATACTGTGGCTTCAGGACTGTTTAAGTCAATGACCCAGAGGAAGGATAGCAGTATGGAATGCTAACTCTTTTTTGACACTGCGATTCAAAAGTGTTAAATTCAGACTTAGCCTCTACGTCTCTCATGAAAGGTGTACTTTTACAGCTGACAAACTGTAGATATATACTGGTAATACATTTATGGCTGCACCAGCCACATAATCCCAGCATTTCAAATCTATTATTGTACTTAAATGGAAACCACTACTCTACTTTCTCCACCGCTTGGTGCATTTCACCCAACAGGTGGGCTTAATTGCTTATCACCTCATGAAATGTTACTTGGCTGTCTCTGGTTTCAAGACTTTTACTTACAGCCGAGGAACAAGTGTGCTGCAAAAGCAGTAAAAGTGAGTTTAAAACTTCTGATCTGTTTACTTATTTTAAGTAGTTTTGAAACCAGTGGAGCAGCATGACAGGTAGGCAGCTAGCATTTTTGCAGAAGGAGATATCAGCAAAGGCAAATTTATAACTTTTAACCCTGCACACCATTGACTTTGAAATGTGGTTAAATGTTTTCTTTGTGTGTTTCTGTTTTCACTATGAAAAGTCTGGTGCAGCTCTGCATAGAAACCAATGAGCTTCCATATTGTCAAAGTTTAATTGAACAAGATGAAGTTAGGAGCTTTTGCACTCTCCAGTTTTAGTAAATCAACCCCACAGTGTTTCAGTAATTTTTCAACTTGAAATTGATATACCAAATTAATTCTTACTTTACTTTTCCTTTTTGATAGAATTTCTCAAATATGTGGAGATTTAAAACTCTACAATGCAGCCAGTTATCACCAAAGAACAGTCAGCAATATGTCCATTAGCGAATATGAACTGATAAGGTATGTTGCCTATGTTTGCTTAAATTAATTTGGTAATTTATAGCATTCCTATATAATGTTCCTCAAATCATAGGATAACACAAGAACAAAACAAAAGCTATCTGGTACGTCATCCTCAACCTAGTTTTTAGAGTACCACGTCTGGTTCTCTCTGGACCAGATGGTAGAGGGATTGCCTGGAAGTGACCTTTGGGCACTGGGTTCTGTACAGTGCGCTTTTGAGACTTTGCTTTCAGAAATTGGCTGTGAAGCTTTTTCTAGTTCTGCTGTACAGGGTGCATCACGCTCACACTTTGCTAAGTGCTCTGGAGTCTTTAACTCCATTGACTGTGGCTAAATTCTCTTCCCTTTCAGCTGAAGTTTTTACTCTGGTCATGGGAGCCTTTTTGCCCCGAATCGTCCAATTATTTGCCAATCCCAAAGGGCACTGGAATGCCCCACACTCTTGCCTGCAGATTCTTTATCTGATTTGCCTGTGGCCTTTGTATCTTCTGAGCCGTCATCTGCTGCGAATCTGTCTAATTCACTAAAGTCACTCCAGTCTTTTGATGATAAGCTTAAGCTGAGACTGTTACGGCTCTGGTTGATGTAGTGCTCACCACTTTGAAATGAGAGAATCAGCCTACTGTCAATGCTGCTTGGTTTGTTTTAAAATATTTGAAAACTCTAAAGGCAACAAAGACTTTCCCTTTGCAACCACTTTTTCAGCTATTTCTCTCAGGAGATTGTAAGCATCCCGATAACCCATTAGAGACAATATTCTCTCTGCTCCAACAAGGTTTTATCACCTTTTCAAAGCAAATGTCTGAACTGGTGGCTTTACCCTGCAAAGTATTGGGACAAGGTGATGTTGAGATCAATACTACCTTCTTTCCTAAAGTAGATTCTGTCTATCACCTTACCCACTACATTACTCTTCCGTCCTTCTGTCCAGATCTAGCTCACACACAGAATATTTCTCCTCATTGTCTAGATGTCATTTGGACTGTTTGGGTCTATCTCTCAGCCACTGCTTCTCAGTAAGACTAATCCCCTTTCTGCCATTCTGGATGATCCCTGAAAGGGTGCATCGGCTTCTCTTGCCATCTTTTCTAGGTGGCTCAGACAGACCATCATTTAAGCTTATGGTGTTAAGAATTGGGTTCCACCTTTTCCTGTCAATACACATTACTAGATCTGTGAGTGCTTTTTGGGTTGCTAAGAAAGGGTTTCCCAGATATGTAAGGTTTTCACCTGCTCTTGTGTTTGCATGTTCTTCAAAGTGTTAGTTCAGCTTTAAAGAAAATCTGTAAAGGTGACTTTACACTGGACCCTCTCCCCACCCCCTGGTCCCAGCTATACTTGCCTCCCACGATCCTAAGTTGTCAGGGCTCCCACAAGCTGCTCCACCAGTCCAGGAATTATAAATCCCAGCTGCTTTCTCTTCTCTCCATCCAATGCTGCTAAGATGGACCAGATGATTTTAATAGGTCAGCATCATCGCATGGATGGCGCTGACCAATCAGAAACCATCTGGTTCACTGGACAGAGAGAAGAGAAAGCAGCAGGGATTTCAAATCCCTGGACTGGTGGAGTGGCTTGTAGGAGCCCTGACAGCTCGGGATCGTGGAAGGTAAATACAGCAGGGACTGGGGGGGGGTGTTGAGGAGGTGGTCCAATGTTAGGTCACCATTACAGATTTTCTGTAAAGTATGAACTAACCCTTTAAGTTCTACCAAGTGGATGTTTTGGCTTCATCTGATGCCAACTTGGGTATAAAGTTTTTTCGTCAACTTTTGGAGCTGCAGTTCTGTTATTTTTTGCTTGGGCCTGATAGCATTTGTTTGATGTGTTGCCTGTCACTCAGAATATTTTTAAATGTCCAGAATGTTAAAGTCTTTATGTGACCTTTAATGGATGAAAAAGAAAATAGGATTTTTGTACTCACCATAAAATCTTTTTCTTGAAGCCCTTTGAGGGACACAGGTCCCACTTGAAGCCCTTTGAGGGACACAGGTCTCACCCCTCTGTGTTTATAATCATGCTCTTGGTATTGCTTTGCTACAAAATGAAGGCATGCTGGTAGTAGGAGCTGTTTTACAGAGTTTTCCAAACAGTTTTTCAGTTTGTCATTGTCAAATCCTTTTGTAGTACTCTGCATAACCCAAAAGTTAAAGACTTCCTGTGCTCCTCAATGAACTAACAAGAAAAGTACAAAACGTCATGTGAGAGCTCTGCACGAAAAGACGAATATTCTTAATTAAGCCTCTGCACACTGATATAGCCCTACATACTACTAGTGAATAATATTAAAACAGGGAAGCTAGCCAACTTAGTTAGAGTTCTCCTTCTCTGGCCATCCCCTGCTGTACTAGCAAAATACAAGTCCACACTGTACACACGCAGTATCTGGAAAGTATGGACATTTAGTACCAATATGGTGTGAACTGACATAGTTATTGCTACAAAACTAGATTTGATCTCTAACCTCAGCTCAATCTTTAGAATTACACTTTTGTTAAGGGGAAACTTACAGTGCCTTGAAAAAGTATTCATACCCCTTGAAATTTTCCACATTTTGTCATGTTACAACCAAAAAAGGTACATTTATTTTATTGGGATTTTATGTGATAGACCAACACAAAATGACACATAAGTGTGAAGTGAAAGGAAAAGGATAAATGGTTTTCAAATTTTTTTACAAATAAATATCTGAAAAGTGTGGCGTGCATTTGTATTCATCTCTCCTGAGTCAATACTTTGTAAAACCACCTTTCACTGCAATTACAGCTGCAAGTCTTTTTGGGTATGTCTCTACCAGCTTTGCACATCTAGAGAGACACATGAGGTGCCACAAGTGGAGTTCTTTTGATATCTCCAACTCCAACATTGGATATCATCCCTTCCTCATACCTCCGAGTGACCATTCCGCAAATCGAACTTTGTCAATATGCCCCAGGTCTTATTTCAGCTCTTTACTCCTCTCTAAACAGTGGCACTTCCTCCTCTTCACACTTCCATGTGGCTCAGTGAAAATGAGACTTGACACCTACCATTGACTCAGCAGACTGGAGCAAGGCCTTGTCCTCGGTAGCTAAGTGTTCCTTTAACCCCGTCATCCTTGAAGCCACTGAAATCATCCACGCCAACCCTGACTGTAGTGACTGCTGCTGTAGGAGTTGTGGTCATCGTGGAGATGTCCTAAATATCTGGTGGAGATGTCCACGATTGGTGGGCTTCTGGTCCTGGGTGTTTGGCTTACTGTGCACTTTATTTCATTTAATTATCCATAAGGATGCTAAACTGGCCACGTTGCACTGTCCCATCCCAGGCCTTTATGCCCACCAGCAAAATTGGTCTCCTATTTATTTTTGTATGTGAAAAGAACCATTGCTTAGTCCTGGAAAAAGCCTACGGTCCCCTTCTAGAGAGTGAAAACTTTATGATGGCCCTTATGATTAATGAACAGATGTCTATCAGTTTGATGGACTCCCATTCTACATTTCTCAAAATTTGGGAACCTTAGATCAAATACTCCTTTTCCTTGTTGAACCCTGCCAGTATTGGTTGCCTATGACCATCGCTTGGGACGATGGGGGGTCCCGAGCCCCAGTTTTCCCTCCTCTCCTTATCCTCTTTTTTCTCTCTCCTTTTCTTTTTCTATCTCCTACTTTTGGAGTCTCTAACCCCCATCTTCGTTTTCCTTCTCCCAGTTTGGGTTGCCCTTGAGAAGGGAAACACACAATTTTGTCATTTTTTTTATCCATCTTATGAGGTATCCCTCCTTGTCTTATCACTCATTTGTTTACATGTTTGATTGTCAGTTTATATTTAGTACCTTGACATGCCTATTGTTATATGCAGTCTTCATTGGTATTCAGTGCTCAGTTGATTACATAAAAATTATTGAACCAGAAAAATAATGTTGACTTTTAATCAGTAAATTGTTACCTTATTAGGGATTCTATAGTTTACAGATATAACATATGTACTGTATAACATATGACATAAGTCTTTTTGATAATGTATTTTAAATAATTATTGTAGCTATGCACAAGAAGCTGATGTGGCAAAGGAGGAGAAACAAGATGGTAGTAATGATAACACAACAGACCAGCCTTTAAGTGGTAAAACAAAGGTAAGCTTGTTTGAAAAGGAGCTAAATATTGTATACTATTCACTATTTACCATTACTTGCTTAAAGTGTAGCCCTCCCTTTCATTCTTATCCTTCTTATCTTATGCTAAATCGAGAGATATCACCTATAAAGCCACAAAGCGGCTTGTCAAAATTTTCTGAATTTGGCCCATGCATACAACATACACTCCCTATTTCAATCATATGTAGAAACATACCTCACTTCCAATCTTTCCATGGGATTAAATAAAGAATGCACATGCATGTGTGGGCCTAGCTCAGAAGATTTTGATTAGCAACTCTGCAGCTTTATGGGAAATGTCTCCCTGGACAGTTGAGTATCAGCTTGCCAGGAAAACCTACAATAGAAGGGTAACTGGGGAGCAGTTACCAGGAGGTCAGGCCTGGTATGGTATATATCTCTGATCACAGTACAATGTTATAGATGGAGGGGAGATCAGACGTCCAGTATGTAGAGCAGCCTTTCTCAACCAGGGTGCCTTCAGGCTTTTTTCAAAAACTGCCCAAAAATTCTATACAAGCCAGCAGGTGAATTCAGACTGCCTTTAAGTTACACAAAGCCATAGGTTTTCATCACACACTTTTACAACATTCCAGCTGCCAGCATCCTTACAACCAAATACATAATTAATTTATAAGGAGGACGTCGGGAGCATCCTTGTTTGCCCCTCCCCTGCCCCTTTTTTCAGCAGTGGGGTCACATTAGCTGAGTGAGGGAGAGAAACTAAGGGAGAAACTCCAGAACACTAGTCAGTACCAGTTTGCAAAAAATATTTGATTTGGAAGAATAAATCACCTCTAACG